AGGGACCCCAGGCAACCGGCTGTGGGGTGCTAACTGCCATGCTGCCCACCTGAGCCAGCTGCGGGGATTCTGCCCTCTGCTGCGGGCCATTTGGGGCTGTGCACCAGCAGCAGCAGGTCACACGGAATCATCAGCCCGGCAGTGCGGGCTGGCACTGTGGCGCAGCACAGAAAGCTGCCACCTGCAGTGGCGGCACCCCGCAAGGGGGCCGGTCTGAGTCCTGGCTGCTTCATTTTGGATCTAGGTCCCTGTCAATATGCCCGGGGAAGCAGAGGAAGCCAGCCCGGTGCTGGGGCCTCTCCAGGCTCCTGTCTTCACCCTTGCTGCCCCGGCTGCTGCGGCCGTCTGGAGGGCGACCCCACACAGCAAAGACCTCCTCTCCCTGTCTCTCCCTCATCAGAACTCTTTCAAATTAAGAAAATGAATCTTAAAAAAACAAAAAACACCTGGTCTGCCACACGTCTGCTGCATCTCCAGCCCCCCCCGCCCCCCCAGCCCCCTTGGCAGGAACAGATCAAATGCTTCTCTCGGCCAGATACGACCAGAACACCCTCATCATCTTAAACCAACAAACAACTTAGTGCCTTCTGTACTCATCTGTCATTTAGTTCTCACACCCTGCTTTTTTACACTTTAAGCTGTAAATAAAATAGGCTGGAAAATGTCCTCAGTTGTGAGGGGAAGACTGGCGGCTGGAGACCAGGCAAGCCTTGACAGTAACGCGGTCAGAGCGGGAGAGGCAGCGAACCGTCCCACGAGAGGGAGTGGGGAGGGAGGGTCAGACCAGACAGCAAGGCCACCGTGAAGTGAGTCGGAGGAAGCTGGATGGCCCTAAGGGGGCGCGGGGCGTCAGGAGAGAACCGGGGCTGGCAGGAGACCCACCCGATGAAACTCTGAGATCTTGAAAACCCAGGAAGACAGCCCACCTGCTCAGACAAGATGGGTCTCCATCAATACCTGAACCATGACGGCGTTCCGCCTCCTCCCTGGGCCTTTACATGAAAGGAGGAAAGGCAGGGGACGGAGAAGCAAAGAAAAAGACAGGAGGGAGACACGGGCACCGCTGTGGGGGACGGACGAGTCTGCCAAGGCAGCACCCCGCCTGGGCACCACAGTGCCAGCTGCTGTCCAAGCCCAGTGCTGCCTCGCCGTGACCAGAGACGGGCAGGAGTCTGCATGGACATCCGGCAGCACACGTGCCATGCTGCTGTCGCCCCAGCACATAGACAAGAACAGTCGGGGCCCGGCGCGGTGGCGCAAGTGGTTAAAGGTCCTCACCTTGCCGCCCGGGATCCCATATGGGCGCCGGTTCTAATCCCGGCAGCCCCGCTTCCCTTCCAGCTCCCTGCCTGTGGCCTGGGAAAGCAGCAGAGGACGGCCCAAAGCTTTGGGAACCTGCACCCGCGTGGGAGACCCGGAAGAGGCTCCTGGCTTCGGATCGGCATAGTATCGGCCCGTTGCGCTCACTTGGGGAGTGAATCATCGGACGGAAGATCTTCCTCTCTGTCTCTCCTCTCTGTATATCTGCCTTTCCAATGAAAAAATAATAAAAATAAATCTTTAAAAAAAAAAAAAAAAAAAAAAAAAAAAAAAAGAACAGTCTTAGGAAGTGGGGACAGAGACCGCAGATGCAGCGTCACATCCATCTAAGCAATGCAGCTCTCACTCAAACAGACTGACCCAAAGCTGAAGAACAACAGGACGAAACACGCAGCTCCTGAGCTCAGAGCTCTGAACGCAACGTGGGCTGGGGAGACACACAGGTGGGGAGGCAGCCATTCCGCCGAGACACGCTAAGGGAGCCCAGCAGCACGCCAGCAGTGTCCTGCGGTAAGAGATGGGCCAGGTGACCAGGGAAAATGAACAAAGGCCCACTGCTGCCCGTGCACACTGCTGCCCTGTGACCGGCCATGGGCACGCCGCGGGAGCTTGCCAGGACTAGCACTGAGGTCTGTTCAGTTCTTTGAGGGGGGAAACAAGGAGGTCCCCCCAACTTCCACAGCTCAGACTCCTCCACTGGCCCCCCAGATGCTCCCTCTTGCCAAGAGCAGGCTGGCTTCCTGCAAACCCCGTGCTTCCCCACAGGATGCACAACAAACCTTCTCTTGAAACCAAACACACCCCCAGAGCTCAGGAAACACAGCGACACCCCAGCCTTGCCATGTGAGTCGGACAAGATGACACAACCTGTAGGCCACGGCACCCTGGATTCACCCTGGATTCAGCAGCTCCTCGCAACCAGCGGGCACTGTTCATGGTGCTGGAAAGCGGCCTGCGTCCAGGGAGCACCAGAGGGCGCCCGAGAGCCCCACCCAGGGAAGCGGGCGGAGAGGTGAGGGCAGCAGCCGGGTGGCACGGAGGGCACAGGGTCAGCACAGCACAGACTCGCAGCAGAGCCCCACCCAGGGAAGCGGGCGGAGAGGTGAGGGCAGCAGCCGGGAGGCACGGAGGGCACAGGGTCAGCACAGCAGACTCGCAGCAGGCAGCTGCCCCCACCCTGCCTGCACCCTGCAGACTAAGGACTCGGCAGCTCCACCTCTCTGCCAGGCAGAAGGTTAAGGCTGAGAATGACAGCTGGGCCTGTCACCGCCTAGAGCCCCGTGTGTAAACTGGGAGCTGTAGCCCACTGCAATGCTTGCCCCCAGACGGGGCTTCCCACGAGCCACGCAGTGAACTCCAAACCTAACACGCTGTGGAGACCCAACAGGAACACAGGAGGCAAGCTTCTGAGTCCAAGGATATACCCAGCCCACTGTGCCCCACCTCCCATTAACTTAAGCCCATTTAAGGGAGTGACAAAACTACAGGATTCATTCAGATGAACTGGTTACGTCAATCAGATGCCAAAATAGCATTTAAAGAGTTCTAAGATGTGAGAAAACAGTGTGGTCAAAAGGCGAAAAATGACTTAGGACCAGAAGTGGCTGGGAGACCAACACGTGGTCCCCGAGAGCTGACCCTGTGTGTGGTACCACGGGGACACACAGCGGGCAGCACTGCCTGCGCTGGACAGGGACCCAGCTGCCCAGCCGTGGACAGTGGGGACCAGGCCGGCTGGGCCTTCTGGCACCCAGAGGGGAAGCGGCAGAAGAGACCTAGTCAACCAAGGGTTTCCAGCCGGGAGAGAGGAGGACAGCCGATACAGGAGGGAACTGGCTCCTGGCTCCGACCTCAACAGCGAACAGTCCAGCCACGACAGCACGGTGACCGGAAAGCAGTGCCCGCATGAGACCCCAACACGGCCGGGCTGAGCCGGCACTGCGCGGCGGCCTCTGCGCTCCAGAGCCCCGCACCGTCACGATCAACGATCAACGTGGCCCAAGGGAGAATTTGTGTACAAGACCGCCTTCCTGCTGAGTGTGCCAATGCAACTTCACACTCACTGGCTAGTCACACACTCAGAATACTCGTGTGGTTCATGCAGCAATTACAGCCACTCTACACCAAGCTAGCTCCCCAAACCAGTAACTTTTCCCAACAAGTAAAAAACAAAAACCCAAAACCCAGGACAATAAAGTTACACCTCGGCAGTAACACTGATTTCTGCAGCTGACCCCGCCAGCCCAAGGGCAGCCTGGCTCGCCCTGCTCCGCACACCTGTGCCTCGGCCGCCGCAGACCAGGGCAGCCACGCGTGCATGGGGCTGCTGGCCACGGCGCCGGGCTCACACGGGCGGCCTTCTGGAGAACAAGGTGCAGCTCACGGAAGGTGCGACCAGCGACCTACGGGACAGACGCCGCGCCACCACTCTGTCACACCACCCTGGCCACACACTCCCGCCCTACAACCCGCAGTGGGCAGCCACAGAAAGGCAACTCAGATGCCATCGCCGAGCTCCGGGAGCCAGGGCAGAACTCGCACACGCGCGGCACCCGCACGGGCAGGACAGCGTGAGAAGGCGGGCTCAGAGCCTGCGCCCGCACCAAGCCAGCTCTCCTCCGAGGGGCCGCGGGCTAGTTCTTTCACTCTCCACTCGAGTTTCAACAGCGACGCTGGAGAGCCACACCAGGACGGGCGGGCACACGCTGCACGCTGGACAGCGTGGGACCAACACTCCCGACAGGTCTGCCCATCACTCCCCCCACCCGGCGCACCCGCCGGCGGCCCGACGCACCGGGCACCCGGAGCGCTGCCCGAGCCGCGGAGCCCCGACGGGCACGGCCCACGCTGTGCCCCGGCGGCCGCCCCAACAGGTGCACATCACCTGTCAGCAGCCCGCGTCGCTTCAGCACACACTGCGGGGCCGACAGCCGGGGGACGCGGGGACACGAGAGCCCACTCTCGGCCACGCCGTCCCGCCCCCCGGCCCGGCGGCGGGCGCCCCCCGGGGCACGCGGGGCCGGCGGGCAGCGAGGCTCGCGCCCCGACCCCGACGGCGCCCGGTGCAGCGCGCCCGCCGCCGCGCATTGGCCGAGCCGGCGCACGGCTGCCCATTGGCGAACGGGGAAAACAGAGTCCCCCAATCGCGAGCGGCGGGGCTGGCTCCCCTCGTGCGGCCCGGCCCGCCCGCTCGCCCCGCCGGCCGCTACCGCTCCCTTCCGGCCGCGGCCACCACTGCAAGGCCGGCCCGACTCACCGCCCGGCCGCCCGGCCGCTCCTCGGGACGCTGTCCGGCCGCTGCGAGGCTGCCGGGGGCAGGGAGGCCGGCGGGCGGGCGGGCGGGCAGCAGCCGCCGGGCCGCGCTCTCCCGCGCCCCCCGCCCCCTCCACAAGATTAATCACACACCCAAAAAAAAAAAAAAAAATTTTTTTCCACAAGGGAAGGGAAAAAAAAAGCAGAGTACAGTCCAAGATGGCGGCGCAGGCCGCAGTACCGCCCGTTCCATCCGCTGCCGGGGGGGGGGGAAAGAAGTCCCAGCCGCCACCGCGGCCCCCGCCCCCGCCAGGCCGCCGGCGCCCCCCGACCCGCGCCCCCATCCCGGCGGGCCCGGCCCCCGCCCCGGCCGCGGCTCTCGGGCGCCCCCGCCCCGCCGCCCGCCGCCCGCCCGCCCCAGCCCTCACCTCCTCGGCCGCCGGCGCGCGGCCGCGGCGTCGCCGAGCTCTCGGGCCGCGCCGCTCCGGGGGCCGCCCGCGCCGCGCCGCGCCTCGTCCGCTGTCCGCGGCGTCCTCCCCGCCGGGCCCCCCGCCCCCCGCAGCCCCGCCGGCCGCCCCGCACACGCGTCGCCGCCCCCGGTGAGCCGCCCGGACGCCGCCCGGGCTCGGTGGAAGGATACGAAAAGGAGTGCGCGCGGACACCCGACGGCGGAGGGACACCACGCCGCGGCCGCCGCGCACGCCGCCGCCCGCAGCGGCGCCCACGGGCCGCGGCCCCGCCGACGGGCCCCGCACCGGGCGCTCCGGGCGGCGCAGGGACAAGCGGCTTTTGTTTTGTTTTTTTCGGGGCGTGGGGGGGAAGGCGAGGACGGGGCCGCGGCGTTGCCGTCGCTTCAGCTGGCGGCGGAGGGATCGCGGCCGGGACGGCGACGGGCCGGGATCCCTCCGCCCTTCGCTGCCCTTTAAATCGCGGCTGGAGGCGGCGCCGCTTGGCGTCCCGCGGGCGCCACCTAGGCTCGGCCGGGGCTGAGGCGGCCGGGGCGGCTGAGGCGGCCGAGGCGGCGGCGCTGCGGGGCCCCGGCCGGCCGCCCCTCACGCCCGGGCCCCCGGCGACACCTGCACCTACCAGGGACAGCTCCCCGAGCTGTGGGGGAGGCGAGGGACGCGCGTCCCGCTCGCGCCGGGGGTGGAGGCCTCGGGAAGGGAGTTTTCTTTGTTGTGGGGCTGGGTGTCGCCGGGGCGTGTGGGGGGTGGGGGCGCACCCTCGGCGGTCTGAGCGGGCCGCCTTGGCTTTGGGATGGGACGGGGATGGGGGGAAAGAGGGTCGCGAGAGCGCCCCGGGCCACCATGTGAGGGTGAGGTTTGGCGCTCCGTGCTGGGCAGCCAGGCACGCGGCCGTTTTTCGGGGAGCCCCGGAGGCCGGCCGTCGCCCCCATTCTTTCGGATCTTGCCCATCTGCTACTCAAGAGCCCCAAATAGCAGTTGAGAGAGGGCCGTGCCTGCAGTTCCCAGGGTGCGACGGGGACAGCAGTGGCGGCCCGGGTTACGCCTAGGCAGTGAGGGAGGGGGAATTTAGTCGGATGAAGGGAGGTCGCCCCGGGTGTGCAGGTGCGCGGGACCCGTGACGGGAAGAGGGGAAGGTGCCCCCCCCACCTTGGCTGGGAAACAGGACAAGCGTTACCTGATCCACAGAGAGGGAAACTGAGGCACGGTGCATCTCAGGGTGGGGGCAGCTGCAGGCTCCTCCAGCGCAGGGCGCCTCCCAAGGCCTTCACCTGTTGGGTCTGGCTCCTCCCCCTGCGGCCGATGAGGGTATGCGGGGTGGCAGAGCCTGCCCCGCCGTGGCAGGTGGCCTGTGGCCGCCCGTCCTTCCTCCTCCTCCAGGCAGGTGGAGCTCACAAACGACTGCCTTGTCTCCCTCGGCTCTATCGCTCCAGTTCCTGCTTGGATCCCACAGGGCTTGGTTCCAGGGCTCCGCTGGCATCTCAGCAGAGACTGCCGGTGGGCGCACCTGGGAAACACCACCTGACTCCGTGGGCACCGCTCGGGGACTTGGTACCCAGGCACAAGCACGCAGCCCTTAACAGCCCCATTAGGAGCACTTTAGACTCCGCCCAACCCAGCGGTGCGGACCCGCGGACCCCTTGACTGACACACAGACCCCACCCCCCGGGCTCTTGGTACCCTGTCATGGTCACACTGTCCTGTGCCAGGCGCAGGGTTCTGGGCTGTGTCTTGTGGGGGCGCAGGGGAGAGAGCTGAGACCCCCTCCCCCAGCCCCATTCGGGTCCGTCGCTCAGTAGTGGCTAGGGAGGGGGCTGGGAGGGGTCCTGACCCAGGGATGCTGGGAGGAGGAACCCCTGAGGAAAACTGAACTGCCAGCTGGCAAGGGACGAGGAGGGAGACAGGAAGAGGTAGGCCAGTGCACCTGCCCAACCCCCACTTGATGGGAACAGCGGGCATTTACCTGGAGAGGCTCTGGATGGCCTGGGGTAGGGGAGCTGAGACCTTGGGGGCCGGATGGGAAGGCATGAACGATGGGAAAGGAAGCTGGTCGTTGGAGGTGCATGCCAGCCCATCCTAGATGCGGAGCCTTTGGCAGGGCCTCAGCTACCCAGCCTGGTGCCACCACCCTGCCCTGCTCCCATTCCAGCTTCCCCCAGTGCCCTGCTGGCACCATGTGCTTGCTGGAATCCTGTGCCTACCAGGAGGGCCCACAGGTCATGCAAATCCCCGAATTCCAGACCCAGAAAGGTCACTTCTCACCTGTTGGGGCGGGGACACACGGAGGCATGCTTGGATGTTCCAGGGGCAACTCCAGGCAGCTGGGCAGGCCCAGCCCTGTGACGCCTTCGCCTTGCACCTGCTCCTCCAGCGCCACGCTCTGATGGGCAAGGACACTGTCTTGGCACGGTGAGGTGTCACACCTGAGGTGCCCATGGGGATTTCAATCCCTGCTCTGCAGCTCCCCAGCTGTGTGAACTGGCCCTTGGACCACGTGCAGGTGCCCATCCCGGGACCTGCCCCCAGAAGTTTCCCTCTCAGCTTTGCTGCTGTGTGCGCCCCAGTTCCTGTCTCCGACCCATGCCAGTCTCGATGGGACCACTCCAGCCTTCACTGGCCGTTTGAGATGTCATATCCCTCAAAACAACCACATCGGGGACACAGACGCTGTCCCCTCGTGTTCCAGGGGGAGCCTCTTCCTGCCCTCCCCACAGTGGCTTTTGTGTTGCCTGCCATTGTGGGGTGTACATCCCTCTTTGGGGGTCCCCAGAGGCCTGTGAGACCTGCAGGGCAACGCTGTGGGGAGGCAGGTGGCCCCCAGAAGGCAGGCCTGGGAGTTGCTGTAAATCCCACCTCAGGCTCATGGCGTTGCCCTTCCTGTGGACATGCCAACTCCTCTGGTGGGGGGGCGTGCCGTGGGCCCCTCTGGTGGGGGGGCTGCCGTGGGCCCCTCTGGTGGGGGGTGTGCCGTGGGCTCCTCTGGGGGGCGTGCCTTGGGCCCCTCTCGTGTGGGGGGGCGGGCCGTGGGCCCCTCTGGTGTGGGGGGGGCGGGCCGTGGGCCCCTGGGGGGGCGTGCTATGGCCCGTCTGGTGTGGGGGGGGCGTGCCGTGGGCCCCTCTGGTGTGGGGGGCGGGCCGTGGGCCCCTGGGGGGGGGGCGTGCCGTGGGCCCCTCTGGTGTAGGGGGCGTGCTGTGGCCCCTCTGGTGGGGGGGCGTACCGTGGGCCCCGCTTAGACTTGAACTTCCAGGACTCATAGTTACGCCAGTGTCTTTCCTTGTCAGTTCTCTCTCTCTTCATTAAGATTTGTTTTTATTTGAAAGGCAGAATTACAGAGAGGCCTCTTCTGTCTGCTGGTTCACTCCCAGATGGTGGCAACAGCCCAAGTGAGCCGATCCGAAGCCAGGAGCCAGGAGCTTCTTCTGGGTCTCCCACGTGGGTGCAGGTCCCAAGGTCTTGAGCTGTCCTTCACTGCTTTCCCAGGCCATTAGCAGGGAGCCGATGGGAAATGGAACAGCTGGGACCTGAGCCAGAGCCCGCATGCGATGCCAGCGCTGCAGGTGGAGGCTTAGTCTAGTATGCATGCACGGGCCCTCCTGGCGTTCAGTGGTGTGGCAGCAGGCAGGTGAAGGAAGGAACGCGTGTGGCTTGGGGCACCCTCCTCTAGAGGCTTGAGTGAGCCTGGCTCCTGCCACTGTCCCTGCTGCCCCTGGCCCATCCCGTGGACCCTGGCTGGAGGCCGTGGCCTGTAGCCCTGGAGAAGGGTGAGCTCAGCCTTCCAGGACTGTGTGGTTGGGGAGAGCTCTCTCCCAGGAGCCATCAGCCACGCGTCTTCCGCACCCTGTTACAAGCTAGGCTACGTGCACAGCTACGGGCCCTTGGAGACCGTGTGGGGGACATGTCCATGGGGCACGCTAGTGAGGTGAGGGGCCGCATCGTTCCTTTGGGTCGCACCACGCTTCCTCTTTCATGTCCGCGCCCTGAGAGACCTCACCTTATCCAGCCCTGATCCGTCTATCTCATACCTCCAAGTAAACATGGGCAAGGAGGACTGGCCTAGGTGTGCTGGCCTAGGGGAACACCGAGGAACCCAAGTCTGCAGGGCTCACAGTTCGGGCACTGGGGAAGGCTATCCTGCTTTGTCCATGGCCACGGCGACGGAGATGTGGCCCGTGAGCCGGCTGGGTCCCTCTACCTCTTGCAAAGCCACCCTCACGACCTCATCTATTCCTGTGGCCTGCTGAAGGAGCCCCTGTTGGCATTATCAACACAGATTCACAGGGGAGGGGGATCAAGTTTTGGGGACATGAACTTGTGGGGACACAAGCAGACCAGGACCAATGGGAGCCTGACTCCGGCCTGGCCTGACTCTCTCGGGGTTGCAGGCGTGTGAGGACTGATCCTACAGATGTGCAGCCTCTCATTGTGTCTCTCTCCGCCTTGGAAACAAACACAAGTCAATGGAGCTTTAGTGTTGTATATAAATATTCAACCTCAGGGGGAGCTGGAGCGAAAGCACACGGCACAGACTGCTCTGCTGCGATCAGACTGGCCCTGGGACAGGAGAGCCCTGACTGGTCCTGGGACAGGAGAGCCCTGACTGGCCCTGGGACAGGAGAGCCCTGACTGGTCCTGGGACAGGAGAGCCCTGACTGGCCCTGGGACAGGAGAGCCCTGACTGGTCCTGGAACAGGAGAGCCCTGGGCACCAACCTCCCAGCAGGCGGGGAGCAACTGTCCTGGAGAGATGAGATTGGTTCTGTTTTGGTGGCTGACTACCTGGGTGTGTATGTTGGGAAAACCTTGTATCTATTTGGAATCAGAGAGAGAGGGAGAGACAGAGGTCTCCCGTCAGCTGACCCACTCCCCAGATGGCCACAACAGCCAGGACTGGGCCATGTCCAATCCGGGCGCTCCATCCAGGTGTCCTGTGTGGGTGGCAGGGAGCCAGGGTCCCAGGCATGTTAGCAGGGAGCTGCATGCGGAGTAGGGCAGCCAGAACACAAGCCAACACCCACAG